GCTCCCCCTTGTTCAGGTCAGCTGTTTCTGTGGGTTTCTCCAGCCTGGTGTTGATCCCTTTGCTTTTCACTCTTTCCTCTCTGCAACTGGATTCCAGTTCAGTCCAGTGTTTAGCTATGGGTGCCTGTTTGTGCTTCCATCACTTACTGAATGAATGGTCAAGGATGACTAACTTATATGCCACCCTATAGCCTTCATCCAGCAGCTGATGAAAGTAGACACACATGGGGAATGCCTAGGACCTAATCCCAAAGTTTATATGAGTATGTACTCAGACAGAGAAAAACACACACACACACACACACACACACACACACACACACACACACACACACACACCATGCATGTGTTATTAAAATACAAGCTGGTATTTCCAGTTAAATGGTGTGTGTGTGTGCATATAAACTCCAAAGAACCTCTAAGGAAGGCCTCACTCTCCCTGGGGAGCAGAAAGTGTATGGTAGGGTGTTAGTGAGAGGGGGCAGGGGAGAAGGGGAGGGAGAGGGAACTGGGATTGACATGTAAAACATTCTTGTTTCTAATTTAAATTTTAAAAAAACGGAGAAAAATATTTCAGGTGAAAGCAAAATTGTAGACTAAGCATTTTACAATAAATCTGTTCCACACTCTCATGGTACAATAAGATTAGTTGAGAGATGGTAGTTAGTTCATATGAAAGAGAGTTGGTATTCACTAAATAATTACAAAATAAATCCAAAATGATAGAAATTTCTTTGAAACTCTGGCTATAACATCGACTTTGCACATAGTGGAGAAAAGTACAACATTTAGAATTGTCATTACATGGCATAATGTTTTAAGCAGGTTGGATTATAGATGGTTGGTTTCAGTGAGGAAACCTCGGAAATCTACAGGACCTCCTGTAGTAGTTCAGTACTTATTCCTAGCATAGGTGTAGACTTTGGGAGCCCAATCCACATAGAGGAATACTCCCTGAGCCAAGACACACAGGGGTAGGCCTAGGCCCTATCCCAAAGGTCACGATAGACTCTGATGACACCCTATAGAAGGCCTCACCCTCCAGGGGGAGGAGAAAGGATATATGATAGGTAGGGTTTTAGTTGAGGGAGGTAGTTGTAGGGGAGGAGGGGAGGGAGAGAGAACTGGGATTGACATGTAAAACAATCTTGTTTCTAATTCAAATAAAAATGCAACATAAAAGAATTAAAAATAAAATAAAATAAAGGCTAGTATATACCTATTCTGTTTGTAATTGTGCTAAAATGACGGACAAGTAGAATGTAGACTGAAAGTGAGAAAGGGATTCTGAAGAGTAGTTGTAACAAGATGACAGTGTCTAAGCAAAATAGACATTTGGAATTAGGATGCAGATTTATAGGGCAAGATAACCAACTGGTGTGAGATAAACAAAATATGAAGCTCGAGTTCTCAGTGTCTACCTAAAGTAACTTGACTATGGCCACCCTATCTTTCCTTTACTGGAAATACCAGCTTGTATTTTAATCACACACATTCAGTGTGTGTGTGTGTGTGTGTGTGTGTGTGTTTGTTTATATGAGTATATTACAGCACACATGAAAATCAGAGTACAACTTCAGTTTCAGTTCCCATAGATTCCATCTTTTTGGAGACAGTTTGTTTTAAGGCTAACTGGCTCCAAGCTTCTAGAGATTCTCCTGCCCAGACTCCTGTGTAGCTGTTGAAGCATAATGTTCTCAAGCATACTAATGCACATGTGTCTGCTTGGGTTCTGCAGAATCAAACTCAGTATCTACACTTGGGGAGCAAGCAATTAATCAGAGCTCTGAGTCTTCTATTCATCCATGTAAATACACTGTTTATGGGTATTTTGAAACTATCATATTATAGATAAATACTCATATTCATCATCACCATTCATTCTTTTTTTCTTCTAAGATTCAAAATAACCAATGGAGGTTATCTATGTAAAATATTATTACTGCCTTTTAACATAGTTCATGTTTTGTAAACTATAACAACCTCTAGTCACCAATATGAGCCAGTGTATTTGCTTCCCGGTTACATGCTAGCTTACGTTAAATGTTTGACAATATTTAAAAGTAACATAAGGCTTGTAATGACTATTCTTGGAAGACCAGAAAAACAACTCACAGTTTTATGAGAAAAGGGAAGTAAAACTAGGGGGAAAAAAGAAAGGCACAATAAAAATGTAAATCATCTAATGTCTCATTTTTATAAACATAATAGGAAAGAAAAGGAAGACTTTAGGGTTCTTTTTTTATCAGTCCGAAGTGGTTTCTGTTGATA